TCAGTTTTTCTTCTTCAAATTATGAGCAAAATTTGAATAAAATATTGAAACACTATTAAATATGCATTAATTAATTGTAGTATAGCTCTGTTATGTTTCCGATTATTATTAATTTTTAAGATTTTCCATTTCTATAGTATTTTATTCGTGTTTTATATATTGTCTTTGTATTACTTTTATTTTTCATTGTTTCTTTTTCAATTGTGCTGAAATCTTTTTCAATGATTTCTGTGTTTTATCTCCAGTCTTTCCATGATATCAGTGATCTTTTATGTAATACCTACTGTTAGACTTTGCCACATTGTGGGTAAATAAATATATAAATTCCTCAGAAGAATGACATAAAATAAAGATTTTTCAGGCATTTCATATTAGCAGAAAGTTCCCTCCTTGTAGGTTTTACGATTCCAACAAAGCTAGTATTCTCAGCTTTTAGTTTTCTATTAAGTTTCACTGAAGCGGAAAAATTATCTGTAATCACATTCCAACCCCTCCTTCAAAATGATAATACAAAATTTAATGACAATGCTCTTTGAAAAACTTGCATTGGATGCTCTTTGATTGTCTTTCCTCACATAAGGAAATTCAATGCAGAGGTACTAATTACCTACATACACCAGAATTTAAGTTAAATTTTTTGGACTGATCCAGCATAAACTGCGGAAAAAGACATTTGCTCTACAAGAGAAAAGTAACTTATCTGCTGTGGCATATGTTGTATATGTGTGATAAAATTTAGCTGACTGTTCTCAACAAATATGTCCCATGGACTTGAGATTAGTGCTAATTTATTGGTTTTCAAGCATTATGATCTGGTGTTTTTTATATGGAAATGAAAAAACTTTAGGATTTCTTGAAACCTATTTCTATCCATTGTTTCAATGAAGTCCCTGTTTTACAACCACAGTTAATCTACTCCTATTTCTTTGTTAAGGTTTCCTCCTTTTGGGCAAATTGAACTCAGCTTGCAAACTTTTGGTTTGGACTGTTTTTCACAAGGAAATCTGACTTAAATTATCCCGAAATCAGCCAAACCGACAATGGCGCTGATAGGCATCTCAGGAATCGTAGATTACATAATACTCACAAAGACTGACATTACAATATAACACGAAAGAAATTGAATAGGCTACTTAGGAATTCTGTGGCGAACATTTGTTGCATCTCGTAAATACTCTGAAGCAAGTACCATTAAAAAAATATTAAAATCGATAAAATAAGAAGAAAAAAAGAAAAAGCATTAAAAATGATGAAAAAAGAAAACATTAGTTGAAATTGAAAAATGAAAAAAATATGACATATAAGAATGGGTCATTTCCTTTTGTCATAACAAAATTAATTTCTATTCTAAATGGCACTGTACTAAAATGAAAAGAAAAAAATGACATATCAGCAAGATCCGCTCCTTCAAATAACAAATAAATTAATATAATACTTAACTTAATTTCTATGCATTGTTTCTAATTATCTTTCTGGTTTCTGATTTCGTGGACTTTTTCTTATGATAGATATAGGTCTTATATAGGCATCATGCACTCAACACTCTGTCTTTAGAAATATATCTCTTGGAATTTTGCAATAGGACCTTCTTTATCTTTCAAAATAGTGTGCAGAGCAAACCTACCCCAAGGACAAACAACAAAGTCAGCTGTTATGCAGTCTTTGCCTAGGAATTTTAAGTGTGCATTAGAAAGTAAAGTCTCATCACGATTTTTCCTTCTACCTGAGTACAGATGCGAGTGTTACTTCTTCAGAAACATTTGACCACCTCCCACCAAGGTTAGGATAACATTTTGGTCCATCCCAGGCCAATTCTGTATGAGAAGAGGATTATAATTATATTACTATTTTGCATTTTTTTTTTAAAAGAAAATAGACATTTTATAAAAGTTAAATAATCACAATAAATAAATCAATCACGTCTGTATTTCAAAGCAAGTGCCAAGCCACATAATGAAATCATGTTGTAATTGGACTTATTGATGATGATTATGAAGATGATGATGACATTAATAATAATAATAATAATAATAATAACAATAATAATAATAACAGTAATAATAATAGTAATAACAATAATAATAATAGTAATAATAACAATAATATTAGTAACAATAATAATAAAAAATAATACCATCTGTAAGTAAATTATTAGAAGAGTCGTCTTCCTTCTCTGAACTGATACATTCTGATTCTTCTGCAAGAGGGTTATCTTCATCTTCTGAATTCTCTATATCTGAAGCATTTCCTAATACTGATAAATATGATAATCTTCAGGCATTTTATTCAAAGCCTCCCACATTTCCTCATCAGTGAGAAGCCATTGCCACGACATGTTTGCTATGCAAAGCTCACTCTTCAAATAAACTCTCACTAATGCACAAGGACACACCATTGTATGAATATATTGTTGACTATACGGTTTCAATTTGAACTGTAGTCATTTCAAACTTTAGAAGCTCTATTACAGAAACATGTATATTCTCAAAGAGTCACATTTACATGTGAGTAGTCTTCATGACCACCTGGCATTTTATAAGTAGTGGATAACTCTAAAACTAGTAATTAATCGAATATAACATTAGTGTGCCTATCTGTTCTTTGAAATAACTAAGAAAAAGGCATAAACATGCAACAATGAAGTATGAAAATTGACACGGATATAAAAATGAAAAAAGCTGTCAAAATAACCAATTGGTTCTAGTGACAACTATAATCAGAATTTCTTTCTTTCTTTTAAATTTGGCCAAATTTATCACTGCATCCCTTCAGCATGAATTCACGATCTGTCACTGCCCTGGGCTGACGGCATTTAATCTGGAGAAAACATTACTCCTTCATAACGCCTGCAAGAGAGATATTCTTTTTTTTTTTTCTTTTTTCTTCTTCTTTTTTTTCAGGAGATGAAACTTAACAAGAAAGGGATGCTCAAGAACCACCTACCCATGTCGTAAAACTCCTTGAAACCAAGCAATGGACCATGAAAGAATACTGTTTGTGAATTCTGATTTCAGTAAAAGAATATGCGAAAACTTAACAATGGCTCTGTCTTGAGAAACATGAGCAATCCTCAGAAGAAAACAGTAATGATTGATCACAAATTTGTAGAACGATTCATAGCGTCAATGTCCTCCCTCCATGACCGATTTTTCTTGGGACAGACAGTGAAACCCATATATTGTTTGTAAATCCTACCATTGAACAGATCACCCCTCTCTCCGACTACTGACTAGTCCCTTAATAGCAATTTTCTTAACAACCCCTCTTAAGAGATAACTTAGTAAAATTGTAAGAATTCAGTACGCTGAGTTTTCAGTAGTTAAAAATGAAAAATGGGGTGATAAACAGCATTTGCATGATGTGCCTCGGGCCTCAACTTCAATCACTGAGGAAATCGGGGCATTCTGAGATTGTGTAATGGCCCCTGATTAATTTCCAAGGTTATTATATTTCAGTTTCATTTCTTCTACTGCAATAGTAGTTATGAAAGGATTCTAACATTTAATTATTTGAATAAACCAAGGGTAATAAAAATCAGGATATTTTAAAATTTAAATCAGATCTAAATTTCAATATTCAAATTAGGTAAAATATTTACACATTTGAAAAAAAGACCATACTATTCTCTTGAATACACTAATTTAAAAAAAGAAGATAAGACGCATTTGAATATTTCAAATCTAACTTCAATGATGTTGGTATAGAACTCATAACAAACATTTTGATATTTGAATTACAAACAGCTCATTTTACTGGAACACATTTAGATCCAAGTTATGAAAGAACTCATATCCACAGTGGTAAAAAAGTGTGCAAGACATGAAAAAAAATGTTTACAGAAAAGAAATGAACATTATAAAACCAAATTTATTAGCATCAGCATCTTCAGCTAAAATGGAACTAATATTTTCCACATTTGGACTTGTCCCATCAAAAATTAAAAATCACCTTGGAACAGAAAAAGCAGCAAAATAGGTGTTTCTTCTTAAACAATTAAATAATAAATAAAAGCTATTATAGTTCATTATTTATTAATAAATAAATACTTTAAATGTTATAATTTGTAATTTTTTTCTTTATTGCCTTAAAAATTTTAATCTTTCTTTGTCAAATTTACAATAAATTATATTTTTGTATTTAAATCTACAATTTTTTCTGTGAATTATTCGATTTAAATAGTGATTGAAATCAATAATATAAATCACTTGATTTAAATCATTGAAACCCTGGAATTAACAGAGCTTTCCTGACCTTACCTGCCTAGAAGCACATGTGGAATGATAGAATATCAATGACAGACTTAAGGGTTATCGACTTGCCCCCAACAGGCGATTGTTTAGACTATATTCCAAATCTAAACCTAGCACCACACAAGATGCATTGTTTGACGATTTTCTTTTATTTATCTGCAGAATTGCAAGAAAAGCACGGTTTGCGTCTCCTTGCATACCTAGCAAATGCCACATACAAGAAAATGGAGGTTTGTTATTCGTACCTTATAAGGAGTACTAAAACCGAAAAATTATTTAATGCTAATTTTTAATCACAAGAAGGAGATGAAAATATTTTTTAAAATTAATTTAAAAGAGTAGCAAATATGTCTAAAAGACAAATCAGATTAGGCCTAGAAAGAAAAAAAAAATTGTCAAAATATTTCATTTTTCATAATTTGCACACATGATCTAAAAGCCAATTATGTTCATTAGACTACAATAGGCACTTTTCTTAACATCTGATGTCTGTTAACAACACAGTTGTTAAAAAAAAAAGTAAGAAAAGTAAGCAAACATTCCCTTGAAAGGTCACTTTTTTATGGAGCAAATAGTAATTTAGTACAGGTTTCACAGCAATGGATCAGGACAAAACCAGCATATCTTTGGCGAAGTTGGAGAAAAAATGAGGGTGGGATGAACCTATTTAGGACATGTAATTTGTTATGCACGCCACATTTAGCTCCTGTTTTTTCTGCGTCATTGTCTGAAGCTTATACTGTATCTTCAGAACAGTACCATTACAAGTCCAGTTTATTGTGAAGTTTTTTTATGTTATTTATAGAGAAATGAAGGTGTTAATTCAATAATTTTCTTACCAGAGAATGTGATAGTGCACTATTGAAGTGACCATTTCAATATAATATTTGGTCACCTTACCACCTTTTTTACTTCTCAATTTCACAAAATTGCTGCTTCTTCAATATCATGTTTTCAGAGTTACACCACTTCTATTCTGCGTCCTTCATAAACAAATAAATATAAAAATAAATTATTTTACTCACTTGAGAGTTGATCAGGATTTTGTTCACCATAACAAGCTTCTGTTGCATCGCCTGTTTCATTTGCACCATTTCCTGACAAATCAGAGTCATCCACGAGTTCATCTCTGTCTTTATCATCCAAATGTTCGATTTTTGGCACCAAAATTGCAAACTGCAAAGGGTCATTTGTCTCAGCAACATTTTGGCCAGAAGACACTTCAAAGTTCAACTGCATCTGCTGCTCTTGTGAAGTTTGCATCACTGATAAATCCACATTTCCATGAAAGGACTCATTAAAATTTTCATGTTCTTTTTTGAGAGGCTCTGCCAGTTTAAGAAAGAAAACAAGAATTTTATTATTAAATAGTAAACCAGGTGGATTTAATACATAAACAATATATTACGTATTCATTTCTTTTTTTTTTCTCTCCTCCCCCCTTCTCTCCAAATACATGTTTATGGGATAGGATTCTCAGGATTAACCATGAAAAGTTTACTTTTGCATCTAAAATTACTTAGGCTATCATCAGATTGAAACATAAAAATAAAAAATTCACAGTAGTCACCAGACGAAATAAACAGTAGTCAGTGACATTGCCATTAACACACTGTAGTTATTAATTTCACTCTTTGACTCTTAAACGTTATTCCAATATTAATTTCATTTCCCAATCAATTTACAGTACTATTTCTCAATAAATAGTATTTCCACCTCATTTATAATAATATCAGTTAATTGAATAAATAAAACACCCAAATATGTGAAGTTTCGAAAACAATTTACTTATGTTATATTTAACAAAGAACATCTGTTAACTGATAATTGCGTTAGACACTACAAAGAAGGTTCAGTATGCAAATCAAAAGAAAAATTATTTTAAAAAATATTTCACAGGTCTTTATAACAAGTAGTTCTCATTGTTCTGTGATACAACAAATTTTTGTGAAATATTAAATACAAACATTACTAGTTTACGTACTTGAGAAAAGGTTCAAATTCTCTTCACTACCCTCCATTTCACTCATGAAATTTTTAGTTGTGCCTTCAACAACTTTAACATTATCCAGTTTCTCACTTCTTGTTTCCGTAGATAGGGCATGCAAAGGTTCATGTTTTACAGTTATTTCCGGGTCTTCAGACACCTCATCACACTGAGGTTTGTGATGTTCTTGCAAAGGTGTCATCAATGATGCTAATTGTACATCCTCACATAGGGCACTATGGGATGCGTTTCCAGTTAGACTGCTAGATCGATTCTTACTCTTCAGAAAGAAAAATAATACACATCATTAAAAATTTTGAAAGTTGGGAATACAAAGAACAGAATGTCACATTTACATATTGGTGGTTGTTTTACATACATAATGCTGAGTAATTCCATTTAGACCTTTGATCTGTAGGGATTGAGCAAGAGTCAGAAATGCTTCCAAGTTGCCTTCTGGAATTTGGGCCTCCCCTCGGTACACAAAATCAATCATGGCTTTCAGTGTTTCAAATGAAGCATCTAAGAGGATGACAAACGTATGCTTCCCAGTCTCTTCACGAAACAGCATCTACAAAAACCATTCAAAAGGGAAATGGTGTGGAAGATTAGCACATCTTTTCTAAAACTCTCACTATAATATATCCATTAGCGCACTACTACAGCAATGAAGTATCTGTTAACATCCATATGTGTGCTAATCAAATGTTGTACTATCATTGTTCATTGTCTTCAAGCTGTGTAATTTATGTAATGTTAATGACGAGAACATTTACTTCAAGATGAAGTTGATTATGTAATATTTATCAGCTTAATATCTTTTGCTAGATAGGAAATCAAACTGTTTTTGTTTTACGCACTTCAATACAAAATATTGTTTTTAAGAAACAAACAGACATCCACACAAAAACCCACATAGGTTTAACGGCAGATTGTTCCTGTATATGTTCACAGTTCCGTGATTTAGTTACAAAACAAATTAAAAAATAATTTAGTATCCACAAATTCTATGACTTTAGTGCTTTTACTAATCGAAAGAATACCAAAAAAGGGATTTAGCAATGTAAATATCACAGAAAACATCAAAAATAGATTTAGTAAGTTTCACTCGCACACATGTTGAAATTGAAGATTGGTTAAAATTAATGAAACACTTGCAAATAATTTTTTGATGTCAACAGGGCAAAATGGACAACATAAAAAATGCAAAGAAATAAAAGCATCGAACACTCACAAAAAGACATTCACAATATATGAAATTAAAAGTGGCTGGCAAGGACGAGGTCAAGGAATCATATTTATGATAAATGATCCATCTACCAATACCATTGATCAAGAAGGCTGTAGATCAACAGATAAAGCATGATCTACCTGAGAAACTCCCAGTTTTCTTTACTGAAGGTATGGATAGAATGGGAATATTGAAATCAAAAGATTACCAAAAAAGGAACATTTTCATTATAGCAATAACTTACATGAAAGTATGGACTGCAAGCTGATAAAATTAGCCTATGAGCTTTTAAGGTCTGACCCTCAGCAGAGATAGTACAATCTACCAAAACATTGTTCTCCAATAAACTTTTGTATACTGTAGAAAGTTCACTGGTATGGTCTTTCCAACACACAGACACGACTGTTTCAGACATATTCAAAGAGTCCTGAAACAATTTAAAAATTGTTTTAATACATTTATTAATAAAGTGAGTAAATAGAGAAATTCTCTCCTTGAGAAGTTTATGCTGCAACTACAAGTACTAAATAAATTAATACATTTTCATTGAATATTGTTATATTTAATAATATGTGCCAATATTGCAGAGTTCGAATCATAAGACTACAGATATATTGCAACCTACTATTTCATCATACCAGCTGCAAATTCCAATAATATATCTATATGATAATATGATGTGATAATTACATTAAATATATAACTAACTTTGGTTAGTGAATGGTTGAGCATTTATTTTGATAGTTATTGTTGGTTAAACAAAATGTATGGTTATGAGGCAACACGTTTTTAGACAAAAAGTAGAACCAAGACAATCAGTGTACTTATAGAAGCAAATCTGGTATGGATTAGAAAATAAAAATATCTTGGAATGATTATAGACAACCATATTTTGAAGGTCATGATGAATACAGTAACTCACAAAATAGCCAAGCAAGTTTAATTGTTAAATAAACTGAAGAAAGTTATTTCAAGATCAGAGCAATTATTACTTAAGATATACTTTAACTGTACCTACAACTCAGAGATAGTGATTTTCAAAATAAATTACAAATAACAATATATAATAATGACGATAATACTAATATAACGATGATGATGATAACTTAATATTATCCAGAACAGCACCACCTCAGTGAATGACACTTGACACTGCTGAAGTTTTATCTCACTACGTGCAAAATTTTAATTTTTTTTTTTACTCTCTTCCATAAGTTAATTTTGTGATCTCATTTGCATTACTGATCTTACATTGCTTTTATATAAATCTGTCCTCCGCCCACGTCTAACCTATAGTTTCCCCATTTAGGTAGGAGTTGCTCCTTCATTGTAAACCACTTCAAACTTTTCAAAAAAAAAATTACTTCTTACTGCAGCAAAAGCACCTTGGTTTGTTTCTAATAATCAATTTCATAAAGATTTTGATCTACCCACAAACAACCCAATTCATTTACAAACTTTCCAAACCTTACCGTCCTTTGGTAAATAAAAAAGAAATTGAAAAGATACAAAAAAAAGTAACATCACAAGGGTATGAGAGCCGTTTTAAATACTTCCTTAGACTCAATAACACACTGCGGAATGTAAATTTTATTTTAAGAAGAAAAAAATTGATTTTGTCTTGTAACCAGAGAGGTCTGGAAAAAATCCTAAGAAATAATTTTATATAGAAATAATTTTATATACGGTTTGGGAACTCTTATTTCTTAGGGGTTTAGGATATTTTAACCTGAAAAAAGTTACTCTATTGGTAAGAGATGGACTGTTTACAATGTCTTTTACAGAAAACCAACCACCACAAACTTTTTAGAAATGATCTGTATCAATAGGTTTCCATTCAAGATCTGTAACGGTAATTAAATTTTCCTAGTAAACAATAATATTAAAATGTGGATTACAATCCATTTAATATGTGTATAGAAAAGACTATGAAGTGAGAATAGAAATTTAAATGTATATTTAGTCATCGTTTTTCAATGTTGCACAATACATTACATCACCAGAGACATGGATATAAGGTAACTCTTCAAATCCATGTTCGCTAACCATGAATGATCACTCTCTCTTGTAGGCTCTTGAATTCCATGTATCAATATTTTTATTTCATTTTATAGTACTGCTAACACAATAGCACCTACACTCCCTACACTTTTTATAGTACTGCTAACCCAATAGCACCTACAGTCCCGGCACAACTACTACCACAACAGCAAAAGAGTTTTTTGTGTACGTGCTTTTATAAACGTGCATTTACTGAAGGTACCTCTACATATAGAAGCAAAGCAGGTACCCTTTCCGCATTTGCTCAAAAAATCATAAGAAACTGGGCGGAAATCCTGATGGAAATGGGGGTCATTGACCCAGAAGCTGCAGTATGAAACCTGTTAGGCATATCTCAGAAGTAACTGCATTATGTCATAGTAAAAAAATGATTTTATTGTTTGAATCTCATACTCTCTAATTGTGTGGAGACAGTTATGGAGTAGAAAATAATACTGGACTCTTTAACTTGTGTACCGAAATACAAAATAAATATTTTACTTGGTGCCAAAAAAAGATTTGAATCGGTCTCGCACACAAAAATATCGAGCTTTCTTTGGTTTAATGACCCCACCTGAAAAAACTTCACACATACAATATAACGTCAACAACACGCGTCGATCCAGCGGTGTTGAACAAGTATGTGTGAAATCCTACGACCAAAGTTATGACTGGTCCAGTCCTGCAGTGTACGTGCTGCCATCTTACAATTGGCGACGAAACAATACGTGGTAGTGGGATCATACGAGTAACAAGTATGTCTCTCTGCGGGTGGGCCAAGACCACCTACAAGGTATTGTAAGAGAATTGTTCGAGGTACTGTTGTTAATCTTGGGAGGGACATGTCCACAGAATTGTAAATATACCTTCAAATATTTAGTGCAGTTGATGGGGAGCTATAAGGGGGTCTCTGGCGGATCTAGGGAGGGAGGATGGCCCCTCACAATTCTTCGAGTTTTCGTTTACCTTCCTTTATTTAACAAAATTGATTTAAATATTTAAGATCGAATTATGTAATTATTTAAACAATAGTGTATAGTATCATGTCTACAGTACATAAATAATATATAATATAATAACAAATATGTTTATTATTTAACAAAAATCTTCAAAAAATCTACGCTCCCCCCCACACTGATCGGTTGGATCCGCCCCTAAAGGGGGTCCACCTTGCAAAAGATGAGATAGATTTAAAAAAAATATTTATGTTGTTATTAGTAAGAAAATCCTTAGTTTTCTACCTTGAAATACCTCGGGACAAATTTTGGTAGCCAAAAACAAAATTCGGGAAGTTTTTGGTTTTTGTGCAATAACTTTTTAATAGTTAATCCTAGAGCAAAATAGCTAAGTACAACTTTAAAAGTCATAAAATTATCTACAAATTTGATTGAAAAAATATTTCTCTCGAGCAAATAGTAACAGAGCTACGAAATTCTAAAATTTCACCAAATTTTTCATTTTATTCTGAAGTTGCCCGAAATTACTGGTAGTCTCTCTAATGCTGTATTTTTGAATTCTTAATGTTATTATAAATAAAATTATAATTTAAAAATTAAATACTAATGCTTTTAATACTTACTGAGATTCAATTCACGTTATTAAATATTTGCGAGATTAAATCCTCAACGATCTTAAATCACCAAAGCAACCCATTACCCAACAGCCAACAACTTCAGTATTTCAAATAATTAAAATGATAAAAATTAGCAAATCACCCAGTTCCGAAGGAATCTATCCTTCTCATCTACACCATCTTTCAAAAGCGCTCTAGATCTTTTAACCAAAATTTTAAATTGCTGCTTCTTGCTATCTTATTTCTCTACCTCTTGGAACACCGCCCGCGTAACAATGTTCCCGAAACCCGGCAAAGATCATCAGCTTCCTTCCTATTACTGCCCAATTAGCTTACCCCCCCCCCATTCTCAGCAAACTATTTGAAAAAATCATTCTTCTTGGACTTCACCCCCTTCTAAATCCATTAATCTGTCCAACTCGGCTCCCGAGAGGGACGATGTGCGGCCCTCCAAACCTTAAACAGGGGTCTTTCAATACCTCTTCATGACTAAAAATAAATTCCCTGCATCTTTACTGACCACACGCAAGCTTTTGACACCGTTTCCCACATTATACTCCTAATGAAGCTTATTCCATACATTCCGACCAATCTTTATTTTCTCATTCAAAATTACCTAACAGACCGCTATTTTGTCGAATATTTTCAACGCACTCCTTCAAAACAGCCAATGCATGCGTTCCACAGGGCAGCGTGCTCTCACCTACCCTTTCTCACTATGTAAAAGACATTCTCCCAACAAACGGTGTCAAAGCGTTCCTCTATGCTGATGATTTTACCTTCCTAGCTTCCTACCGATCCCTAAAATGCTCCCTTACCCAACTACAAAAGCCCTAGACACCCTCTACCCCTGGGTCAAAGCCAAAAACATCATTCTAAACCCCTCAAAATGCCAAGAAGTATTATTTTCAAACCGCAGAAAGCCGACTCGTCCTCCCTCTTTTCTTACGAATCAACAGCCTCTTCCCTGGCAACGCAAAATTAAATGTTTAGTAGGTATTCATTTTTCTCAACGACTCCTATGGACGTCACATATTCCCCAAATCATGATCAAAACCAACAGAACCATTAATGCACTCCTCCATTTTCTCTCGCATCATTCGCTTTCCACTAAAGGAAAACTAACTCTTATTACTCCCTCATCCGCCCCATTATCTCATATACTCACCCGACCTGGGCATCCACTTCTTACACCAACTACCTCCAACTTACTTGACTAGAAAATAGAATTCTCAGACTAATTTTCAGACCTCCCATCTAAACGACCTACGAACTCTTCATAACATTCCCCACATAACTTCCCACATTCATAATTCTACACAAAATAGCATTCATAATGGTTTTTCCGATCCTTCACACAATTACCTACTCACATCTGATCTGCCTATAATCACAAAACCATCGAGACACAGAGCTAAGAAGCATTCCCTTTCTTCGACTTCCTCCGCCTCTAATTTAACTTAGAGGGCACCGAAAGACCACTTACAATATGACTAACCAATAAAACAGGTTTAACGAAGACAAATGTCATCGTTTTTATTACGACTCAACGAACACGACTGGAAAACTGCCAATAACAAACCCATAAATAAGCCAAACAAAACATAACATTTATTTCCCTCCTACTTACTTTTTTCTCTCCACCTCTTTCTCTTCCAAGATTTTTTTCATTCTCTGTTTTCCTCCACCCACAACCTACACAACATAGCTCATCAATACCATGGTGTAAGATATATCTTACACCGCCCGTGTCAATGATTGAAAGCAAAAGTAATCCATCTCATACCGAGAACCCGCCACCCTGTTACCAATCGCGCTGTCTGTGTAGTGGGGGAGGGGGGCAGAAAAACAACCAAGTGAAGAACCCACCAACAGCGAACGCAGAAATGAGTGGGGATTACTGGCAGGAGCAAGGCATCTGGACAGTAACACATCAGTGCGCCATCTGTAGAGGAGAATAAACGCGGTCAGAATCAGCGCTAGACTCTCACGGTGATGGAAATTGCGCGAGAGGAGGGAGAGCGAGGAATTCACATGGCGCGGGATGAAGACATATTCCACTTACGAGAGTTACTGTACTACGATACCCACGTCCGTGCGTTCTCGGAATACTCAGAAAGCGCGGGCAGCAGAATTCTAGCAGAGCGCGGGAGGGAGAGTAGGGGGACCATGGGATGCTTTTCGGGTTTTGGCTCCCGAAGGCAAGTCATTAAATTTCGACTTATTCCTGATTATCTACAGGAATGGTGGACCTGGGGTGTAAATGGCAACTGAAAACCATTGAAGAAACGACATGTTATGTTGTTGTTCCCCACCGCTGTAAGGATACGAGCCACAAAAAAGCCCTGTGCGTTTTAAGTATTAAGTATGTTTGAAGCTTTGGGATGGGTGGTACCAGAGCTGTCTTAGGTGAAACATTTCTTGTGCAGGGTATATACTACGGTGAAGGCAAGTTTTGCAGGGTGTAAAAAAATCTATTCCCTCATAAGTCAGGAGGTTTGAATTGGTAGGAGAAGTAGTGTACTAATAACTCCTGCGAGTATCTTGGCACGCCTCTTCTGAGGACAGAAACCTGATCCATGACTGCTTGTTGAAAATTATTGCTACAAAATGCTGCACTAGCGCCCACCAGCGCGGGAGGCAACTCTGGGAACTGATTGAAATTTGCAGGTTTGGAAGCAGGAACAGTATTCTTGAAAAGTTACTTCCAACTCATTGCGTTTGCTTCTGCTCTGTGGCAAACTCTCTCTAGAGGATGGTGAGTCCTTTTCAGGCTCAGATGATAAGACGCTTATATAAAAAGACAAAATGGATGGGAGTTTTCTCAGTCAGAGTTAAGAGCAGTTTTTGGTAGGAATGTGTACTTGTTTAATCTCCGCCTGATGTAACCATCTAAGGAGTATTAGACTTTTCTGTGATGCATAGTGAGTCAAGAGTTGAACGCCGCTCCGCCCCGCCCATAGCAGCGTGTTCGAAAGAAAGGACCGAGTTCACTTCAAGGGGTTTTGTATTGGATGTTCAATTATACAATTAGTTTTTCAACAGAGGACTTATCAATCATTACGAGATCTGAAAGAAAAAAGGAGGTTTTCAGGTGCGGTATGACGCAGTATGAGAATAAGGACTTGAATCAGGTTTAGGCATTGGCGTCAATAATTTAACGAGAAATGGATCATCGGGCACGAGTGAGGAAGCGGTAACGAAAAGGAATGAGTGCGGGCCGCACCCGCAACAACATTATCCGGGACCCGGTCAGTAGTATAATAGAGCAGTCGGTGAGAGAGGCCAGACAAAACGAGGTAGATAATAATGTTGGTAGGATGTAGGAAGTAGATAAGTCAGGTAAATGAGTAGTTTGTGAGTAATCAAGGATTTACCTTGTTTAACCTGGGCCCGGTCCGAGCACGGCACGGGCCGAAAAGTTACGCTCACTGAATGAGAGAGTTAAATGTACCCGCTTTACCTTACCCTGTTGGAGGTACATACGTTACAGTGGACAGTGACAAATTGGAGATTTATTGAACCCCGGCATGCCTGCTACTTAGTCAGACGCGCGCAACCGATACGGCGTGAGGTGCGTAATGAAAATTAATTAGTCTATCATTAGACATATCTTTTAGTAGCTCATAAAGAACACGAGCGAGAATTCAAGAAAACATCTATTGAATGCAATTATGGAGTACAAGTGTCTGAGTCCCCGGCATCGGTACGGGCATAGGCAACTGCGACTCGACTTTGGCCAAGATGAAGCATCACGGCCCCTGAGGCAGTGTCAAGTAAAGCTTTTAAGAGTGATCTTAATAAAGCGCACTCAGTGAATTCTGCATGCTGTCCAAGCACATTCTGTGTGCTAATGATGTAAATAGTAGTTTAGCTGCACCCGCAGGAGCATCACAAAACTCACTCAGACGTCACACAAATTAAATTTGTTGGGACAGATGAAACAGTGCAAAGGTGGATAATGGAGAATAACTGACCACATTACCCCAACAAGCACGTAGTTTTATCATTAGCACTCGTTACACTTTGATAGAATGTTTAAGAAACTGAGCTCCCAATTTTGGTATCAAATGAGTTTGCTGAAGTACTTCCATCCAACAAATTTTAAATTTTTCAGGATTAGAATCTCAAAGTTACTGAGGACGAGAGACGCATTATTTTCGAGAGGGAGCACTTTCTAAATCACAACCCCTCACTTTCTCGTACAACGCGGGATAATGGTCGATGAGAGACTTCTTTGCTGCGCCCGGAACCAACGGCATAGGTATCGGTATGACTAGAATGGTAGGTCAAAGCATAGTTTCTGACGTTCCGAAATATGATCGTGTGAGTACAACAGTTTGATCGGTGAGTAAGAGGATGTAGACCGTGAGCTCCTTATTACCCCCGTTTCCCCTACACGCCAGTCTCAAAAATTTAAGACTATTCCGAGAGGGGTATCGGAGGAGAGAGGCAGTGCAAAGTTTAGAGCAAAAGAGAAGTTATTATTTGCAAAAAAATCCTGCGGCTAGTGTTGCTTAGTGGCGGACGTTTTGGCCAAAAAACATTTCGAACTGTGGCGGATGGCGGAACGTTTTTCGGTGATTCAGCGAGACCACAGAGCTGTGAAATCATTGGAAGTCACTTAATGTCTGGTTCAAGACCTCACCGTAATTTTCTAGCTTACATATTATATGAAAAAGATAACTAGCGGTGCTACTGAATGAGAACAGACTTCTCGTACGGTGTTGTGCCATATTCCTTTTGCATGAAACATTACATACATGTCATGTATACGAGTTGTATTATTGCTGTCTTGACAGGCAGGAGCAAAGCAATTACTTTGGAAACGAAAATGAATTACAATAATTATGGATGGTTTATTGACGTGTTGTTAGCTATACACGTAAGCTTTCCCGGCTCGGTTTCATAATTCCTTGGCTATCCGGGAGACGCCGCGTCGTTGGCTGAGAGGTCAACGTTTCGCCTGACATGTCGCAGGCTTCCTCAGGACAGTGACTGCCCCCTCAGCCAACAACGACCTTTCAGCCAACGACGCGACGTCTCCCGGATAGCCAAGGATTTGTGTTGTTAGCCTTCCAGATATGAAAATAAAAGGCATTGTCTTCGTCAGCATGTTGACATTGATTAAGATTTTAGATCCCTAAACAAAAAAAATGATAAATACCAAAGTAGTAGTTTTCTTGTGGAACTTGCCTTTTACTACACAGTCCCAATGTACACAAGAAAGTAGGACTACTACATTACATTTTCTAAAAAAAAAAATGTCTGATCAACAATGTTTCTTAACAAACAGTGTTTGACCACACTTTCTGAATAGAAAAAAACAATTTTTATTTTTCCCACCATCCTGAAGCATAAATCAGGACTGAATAATAGAATGAAATGTGTAATAAAGGCCTGCACTCAAAGAGGTCCTTAGAGCTTTCACAAGGATTAATCCAACCCTGATATGATTTGGGTATCTTTCAGGAAGCAAGCTCCATTTTCATTCAATCTCAATTTTATTGACCCATAATTAATTGGACAATATTTAATAAACATTGACTGATTTCAAATTTCTCACATTTATTTACTTTTACTAACTTAGGAAGTCCTAATAATTACTGGAGAAATACATTACAGAAGTAAAGTTTCCAATGCTTCTACTTCTCCTTAAAGACAAAAACCTTCTTTGACTTGAAGCTATACTCTTCATATCTTCTTGATAAGGATATTTTCTTCCATTTTTAACATCCCTTTCCTTTCTTTCTTTTCTTTCTTTAGATTTTTTCTTTTTTCTTCTTTTTTTTTCTTTTTGCATGTACTCACTAGTGAATTGGCTAATTTAATAGAAAATCTGAATTTATTTCAAAAAACAAACAAAAAGAAGGAAATATGTATGTACTTATGTAATTTTTTACTTCCAAAAATGTTGAGAGAAAAAAAAAAATAGGGAAAATACCTGTAAAACCCCTGTCTGATAGGTGGTTAAAATTCTCTAATTTCAAGGGCATTGCAATATTTTTGAAAACAGAATGTCACCAATTTTGCTTTAAAATAAATTTATAGCAGTTGAATGAATATTCTACATCTCCAGAAGTAATTGCATACTAGTCTACACAGTACAGATTTATATTTATATAAAACACATAGCTACATAAAATTCATACTTGGTATAATACAATGTTGCTTTTAAGAAGCCATTAAACACATGGTTTTAGTGAAGGTTATTCATCCTTCACCCATTGTGTACCATAAAGCCAGTGACGGTTCTGGGAGAGAGTTAGATAAGAGCTCCTCCATTTAACATCTTTTTGTAATTGAATTAATTTTTTTGAAAACAATCATCATATATTGATCATATCGCATTCAAAAGGAGTAGTCACATTAAATTCACATGTATGACTCTTCTTGAATAATTTCGATGTTCTGCATCCCAAACTAAGGGATCTATGATCTGGGCTGGGAATAAGAAGAATGGTAAAACAATGTCTCTAAAACATGTTGAGAAAATGAGAGTTGGACATGGACTCTATGAAACATTAGCATCTATGCGATTGCTTTTACTTCTGCTTTGCAAGTATCCACTCATTCTTAATTCTACAAACATGATTTCCGAAAACTGGGGGTGAAGCCTGACAATTTACGATCTAGATTCCGAGAACTACACAATCAATTTTCATATGATTAGGGTGCATTGCAGTTGGTACGCTCTAATTCAAGGTATTTCCAGTTCATGGTATTGGCTACCAGAGTGTATCATCCATCTTAGAAGTAATCAGTTGTAAAAGAGCGTTTTGCTTAGTGAACAGTGTATCATACCAGCTCTCTGTGCTGCAAACGCCCACTCGCAGAGTAAAATTTTTTCACACAGTTAACAAATTTGCAGTGTTGCAGATGTTTTACATGTAGCCTTCCCTATTTTATATATTTAGCAACAGAGCTATATAAAATATTATATACATCATACACAATACATTTTATGTATCAAGTACAATATATTATATATTCATCGATATTTTGTGTACAAACCTCATTGTAATTTTATTGATCCATTTCATCACATTATAACCTATTACTTTAGAGACATATGCAGCCAGTAAACCATGTTACTGAACCTTGAATTTTTTTCATTATTTCATTAAATATAATGTTTTTATGAATTATTTTCATTATTTCATTAAATTTTATATTTTTATGAATTTTTGTCATTATTTTATTAAATTTTATATTGTTATGAAGTTTTATGTATCACTGATCCCTTCATCTTTCAAGACAAGATATACTTACAGATAGTAAGATACGATTATCTTTTTATCTTATTTCCAAGAATTAGGAATTAGAAGGGAAGTTGTCAAACTTTTTGCATATATATGCAAATTCATTTCTTCGTTTAGTTGTTGCAAATATTTTACATGTAGCTTTTCACCCTCCACAATTTTTGCAAGAGCTACATATCATGTTAAAATATAATAACATAAGTGAAATATTTTGTTACAATTTTTAATATACCTTTCCATAAATCACAGACAATTTGAAATAGTCAACTTTAACTTCAATTGTTTGCTCAAGAAACGAAGTTGGCCTGTTGGGAGACCTGTTTTCACTACACTATCATTTTTCTCCTCTCATCATGTAGTTTTTTGATTCTTTGTTTAAGCAATTACCTTTCATTCTGCAAAGTTGCAACACTAAGTGCTGGATATGCCTACTCTTAGGCCAATTCCAAAGGCATGGCTGTCAGAGAGTAAGATGAAAAATAAACTTTCGGGTAGATGCCATTTTCATGGCATAAATTTCCATAGTTTTATTTCTCATGAAAACACTTCATTTGGTTTTATTAATAGAGACATGGCCAATGCTATTATTAGAAAAACATAAAAATATTTTCTAGACGTTAAATTAAAGCTATTTTCATTACTGCCCTCACCTAGGGTTACCTACACATGTCACGCTTTTGTTTTGGATTTTTAATTGGAGGAAGACCACGCTTCGTGCCCTGGCCCTGGAAACAACAACATACTTCAATACATCAATTTTGGGGAATGGGAATAAAATAAGATTTTGTGATGAGTTACAAGAAGTTAGTTCATAAGAGTTCTAATTTTCATGAGGGAATAATATTTATTTACACTTGTGTTCTTCATTTTATTTTTATCCTTTACCAACAGGTAAATAAGAAGTGATGTGAAGGAAGGAAGTGAGAAAATTTCAATGAAATATCTACTAGATGTATCTTTAAACACTACATATCTTTCAGGATTTTAATGATATTCTCAAACAGAACATGTCTTTCAATATTCTAGTAAAATTGTTGTCAAGATGTTAAAAGTTGAAATTTGATAACGAGTTTTATTATCTACAAGACACTATAAACTAAACTAAATTAAAATGTTAATACATATACAAACTCTACTTACAAAAGTCATAACATATTGCTGTAGAAGCCTTTTTAGCTCATCGTTTTGCTGACGAAGAGAATGCACTTCTTCATTCAGTTTGTGTCTAGCTGCAATTATAAATTTTACTTTATTAAAAGAAACTTAGATCACATTGACATTGTTGCAAAATTGTAGTTAATACCTATCTTTTCAAGAAAAATTAAATTTTAAGAAATTGTTTTAATAATTCATTATTTTAGAAAATGTGTGAATCACAACAAATGCATTTCTAACATGTGTAATAAATGGATGCTTGGTGGAAAAACATTAGTTTTCAATAACTTCAACCCCAAAGAAATGCTATTTAAAATGGTTTAAGGAGTGCCACAAACCCTATGAACACTCCAATTTTTGCCTTATTGAGCGACTTTTCAGAAACTTCTGTGATGAGACTGTCTTGGTAATATTATCTGATGTTTGATGAGATTACTTGAAGCAAATTGTAAACATTAAGAGAGCAGGAAAATTTGATATTATAAGTGAGTAATAAACCCTCTGTTGATCTTAAGATGTTGTTATCCTAATATAAATAATATTTTTTTAGCATGAATTTTGAATTGGTTTTAGGGCTAGTGTGTTAAATGTAAGTTTTGTTGTTGTGTTTTTCCTCCACAACCAGCTCTATTTAAAAACATACAGCTAATTAAGTTACAAATGGTGAATCCATTAGTGTATACTTATTGTATTAATGTCATATTTTAAATCCAATCACCTTTAATTATGTGATATTCGGAATCTGAAAATGGATTGGATTTGTGTGTGACATACCTTGTAATATCTCAAGATATTTATGAAGCCCAATCAATAAAGCATCCCACAACTTCTCCTTTTCTGGACTGAATATTTGTGTGAATCTTGTCCAGTAAGCAGTAACATCTTCAGTTTTCAATGAACGTGACACTGTTCTGCGTTCTTTAGCAAGACGATCTGACAAGGTCTCTACAACACTAGAAAAACAAAAGGAGTTCGGTAATCATGTATCGTGAACATTATCATGAAGCAGCCAACATTAACATACTGACTTACATTTCTTTGCTTTTACTGAAATCAGTGACAAAGGCTCTCAAAGCCTTTAAAACATAAATTGGATCGATTTTTAAAGGATGAGAAGGATCACAATGATCAGGCTTTGGAACATCTCCTGAAAATTTGTGGAAATCGATTGTAATTGTAATTCATTTTTCACAACCAAATTTAGGACTGCATTGAAATTAAATCTATTAACCTCAATTTCTTTTATTTTCGTTGAAACATATTACATAAAATATCAATTTACAGTTAAATGAAAAGTTGTATTTTAAAAATAACTGAGAGATTGAGTTACCATCATTGTCAGTACAGTCATTATCAATAACAATAATATTTAGTATAGTGAGAGTAGTTTTGGACCAGCCAAATTTTCCCCTCTCATATACATTTTTTTAATGGAGCAAATAAAATATTTGGTAGAAAATGAGTTCATTGCAAAAATCTTTTTCACTAAGTTTGAAATCGAAATAATTTTTGAAAACCTTGTTGCTCCCGCTTAATTTTTACATGAAAATTACATACTACCAGAGTTATGATAATAATTTCATTGATTTTTGATAATTTGAAAATTGATGTAAAGATGAAAATATTAGTTAGATAACAAAAATCAAAGTGAAAAAATTAATCTTTTATACCTAATTCCTTTATTGCTGATATGTCAATTTTGGTGTCTCGAACAGAATCTGGCAAGGTAGCTGTAGCACTTCCTTCACTCATACTCTTTGCATCACTGGCAACAGACCCTTGGTCGTCTTCATCTTTGGCAGCAGCAGCAGCAGCAGACAGTTTTGAGAGAGTATGAGTCATGCCCCTGTTGAGTGATGTGAACAGATCGACCTCATCTTTTTCTTCTGAAGAACTTTTTCTGCATAAAACAGATGGAAAACATTGAATTTTAAATTATTGTTATCTCAGTATGGAAACAAATAACAGGTTATTCTTGTTTTTTAAGACCTTTGACAACGCATAATTCGAATTCATGAGTTTTTTTGGTTGAATACAAACAAGAGCAAGTAAAATTAAAAACACTGAAAAATTGAAAATATTTCCTTTTGTTTTTCCTGTTACCTCATTAATTTTTCAATCTAATAGATTGTAATAAATCTAAACTAATTTTCCACAGGACTCAAAACAGAGAATTTGGTTTATTGATTCAACAGATCATGCCCCATCATGCCTGCTTCCATGCTCAGAGAAGGAATAGTGCAAAATTTAGAGATTATTTTCACACCAAGAATGATGCTCGAACAAAACTAATAATCTGATGCAGTAAAATATGTCACCAAGTATCAACAATACCATAATTGAGGGTGACAGCGCAATGGTGGCCTAATTTTTAGGAGAAGTTGCGTTCCTTCCTGTGTTAATCACTCTTAATCTCCCTAACTCAACGTGTAACAGTTTCAGCATGTTGCGTCAATAGTTTTCAAGTTATAATTACAAAAAGAACTATTGCACTCAGCTTACGATTACATTTCTTTGTGCATAGTGGCCTAAGCTAGGAGATGCTGTTTTACAAGATGTAATCCACCACAAATGTTTAGTCAGTGGTCATTCTTACATAATATCATAATATGAAAACAATTACAAATGAGTGTTTAATTTTGCCAATAACTACATCAGCCATTTTCTCCAAACACAGGATATGGGGATAGGCCACTATTGCGTTAACACCCTCAATTAATGTTAAAATATATCATACATACGAGGCAGCTTCAATAGCTTTCTCCTCTTCCTTATCCTCCAAACTTGCCACAGATGTCTCTCTTGATGGAGAATAGCCACAAATTTCACAAGAAACATACGGAATAAAATACTCTTTGAGCATTTGTATATCTTCCTCAGTTTGAATTCCAAGTGCCTAAAAAATATTACAATTGGAATTTAAGACAGGGATGTCAATCTCACTTGAAACAAATAAAATGCTCAATTCACAGGCATCACAATAAGTAGGCACATGGCTATTTATTCTATTTAAAAAACTACAATTCACAGAATTTCTACAAGTTACAATATACAATCAACTTTTTCCCATAATTAGGAAAATACTTATAAATAAAAATAAATAAAATGGTAAGGCAGAAAAGCAGGCCTTATGATCTGAACTCCACCACTCAATAAGGGCAATTATATAAGTATAAAGTTCTTAAAATGTATTATATCCCAAATTGTTAGACATTTTTTAAATGTTTACATACTGTTTTCTAGAAACTTGAAGTTTATCTAACAATATATTTCTGAAGTTTGATCTGTAGTAATAACATTGAAATGTCCAACTGCAATTTCCAAATAAATTTCTTTTATCACTTCATATGTTCATACAAGATACAAAAACCCATTCAATTGCTTTTATCCCATTTTTTTCTTCTTTTATCAAGGCTAATTTCAGGAAGTGCAGAACCAATTTCTATGAGGGTTTCTAACTGTTGATCTTCTATCATCCTTAATCTTTATCACATTTTTACTGAACTCAAGGTGGTGAACTATGAGGAATACATGGTAGATAAAGTAAAATGTTACCTTGAAAGTAATTTTGGAAGTAATTTTAGAAGAGTGAATATCAAAAAAATGTGTTTAGTACTGTTTATGGTATATTTTATAATAAAAGTTTCAAGATTTAAGGGAAGGGACAGTTATTCTCCCCTTCCAACCTTAATTATTTCTATTTCACATGATATAAACATTTTTCACCCCTAGATATTTTCTTTCTAGTTGTATTGTATTTTATAATAGCCAATCTGGTGGCCGAGATTGCTAAGGCAGTAGTGCCGTAGCGATCTCGCACCAAAAGATCGCGGGTTCGAGTCCCGCCTCGGGCATGGTTCGTCCTTTCACCCCCTATCATCCATCATCCTCCATCTCTCATAATCACCTTTCTGAATAACATTCAGAATTGTAACTCGAGGATTTATCCTCATCTCAAGGTGAAAACCTTCGACAGTCGACCATGAACAGTAATGTGAAGTGGAACGACTCAAGTGCTCCAATGTGGCCAATCAAGTTAATAATAATAATAATAATAATAATAATAATAATAATAATAATAATAATAATAATAATAATAATAATAATAATAATTTTATAATAACTTTTTTTTAACTCACCTTAAAAATATTTTCAATTTTAACTAAAGTTTTTTCTGTTTTCCTGTAGGGAAAAAGCAAAGGAAATATTTTCTCTTCCACCAGGAATCCAGAGCTGTCAGCAATTTTATGTAAAATATGACGAAGTAAATTTCCTTTAGATCTTATCGCATTAAGCTCCTCTGGACTGTATGTAAGAGGGTCTTTAGCAGTTATTTTCCCTGGAAAAATGGAAGTGTAATAATATTTAATGACCAGGGCTCGGATTCTGATGAAATGTCATCTTTTCATTGGTGCATTCTATACATAGCTAACTTTTAAATTAATGTTTATCACATGTAGGTGATAGAAATGTATAGTTATTGGGTCATTTTTTGTCATTTTAGCCCTTTTTTTATTTTTAGGTCATTTTTTTGGGCCCTCGCTATTTTTGTCATTTTAGGTATTTTGTTTCTTTTTTGAGTTCTTTTTTCGTTAGTGAATGTTTCATGAATTTACAATGACACGCAAAAACAAAGATTTTGTTGTATTATCAGTTCATGATGAAATTCACTACTGCAGTGGACTCTGTTTTCTGAACTCTCAAAATTACACAGATCTTCAGTAACTTCCTTGACCTTTCTAAACTGACAGTTGGAAGATCAGAGCTAAGATTAGACATCCTCTTAAAATAAAGACTTTCTATTAAATATAATTTCATATAAATACATTGTACTTAATATTGTAAAATTCATTGAATAAATAAAGATTAAAAAAAATAGGTTGTTTCCCCTTATTTTTAAGAAATTTTGTAGGTAATTTTCCTCTTATTTTTAAGTAATTTGATAGGTTGTTTTCAAAGACTTTTTAGGTCATCAGAATCCAAGCCCTGTTAATGACACATTTAGTAGTAAATTTTGTTTCTTATTTGAAGATATTTTCAGATATTTCATGTCAGAGTAAATAGAACTGACTTAATTTAGTGAAAAATATTATATAAAAATATGTGAAGATATATTGCTAATGTTTTTGTAAGATATGTGTTGAATAGTTTTAATGTATTTTTTGCAGTTAGAAAGAGATCAATTTTGCATTCTGTATTTCTCTAAAAAGAACTGCCACATTTTTATTAACTCTTTATACTCAAAGGCATTGGGTCTGAAACACATTACAAGGCATGCTGAAAGATGAAAATATAGCCAATGACTGCCAGTTTAAATGTGTTACATTGGATGATGACTGTACAACTCTAAAGGAATCTTTAGGATGATTTCTGATCTTCCATGAATGTAAGGTACCTTATAAATGGCCTTACAATTTACAAGGAATTTTACAGATAAAATAACATTTCCCCCCACTACTGCTGTATCATATTCATGGAATATTTTAACAAACTAACAAATTTGTGCTTTTCAAATGATGTTGATCAGATTGGCTTATCTTCTGATATTTATCTGTTTTTGTACAATGTACACCTTACCCCAGTAACAACAGTGTCCATGAGTTGTGAATTTAGTATTTGACATGAGCCTTTAGATTGAAGAAAGAAATCTCATTAGAGTATTAAAACTTAATATGTTTAATAAAATTATTAATTAAATAAATATGTTTGCAAAGTATTCTATCTTGTCATCAAACCCATATAATTTTTATTTAAGAATTACATCAGAAGATCCATATTCAAGACACAAGTGCCTTGAGAATTTTGAGACTTCAATAAATGCATCTCACAGATTTTTGTTTTTCTCTTAAATAAGAGATGTTCAAATGATGTGTCCATTTCGTCATATTCACATTCTAAAGATTGATAAAATTTAATTAAAAATAATTTTATTCATTGTGAAATTTGTAATTAAAAAAGGCTGAACACTAAGTCCACGTCTTAAGAAAATGTTGTAGATTACAAAACTGTGGAATAATCTGGGCACAAAACTTCTTGCTCAGAAAGCCCAGTATTAAATCCAGAAACAAGTATCACTCTGCAAGTTTCCCCTTTTTCCTCCTAAACAATGGTCTAGCAACTCCATTGGATCATCGCATCCCAAGCAGAGCTGAGCATCTTGTCCGTTGATTGCCACCTGAGAGGTGTTCACTGAGCTGTAGGGCAAACAAGTGGTTGCATTCGCCTGATCTCAACAGATATGTCAACCCATACCTTCAAAGTATATAAAGTTTAAACCAGCAAGTTTGAGACCTAATTTCAATGGATACGTCATCCTACGCCTTCTGACTGCACAGAGTTTAAACCAGCAAGTTTGAGATCGCCTTTGGTAGAATACATATAAAACTAAACAAAATTTTAATACACAAATGATTTTTCTAATGAAAATGAAAATTTATGATCAATAATCAATACTGTTGTTTTTTATTCTACCTTTGTCTTTAAACAATTTATCAACAGCCTGCATTGCTGATGAGAAGGAAGGAAGTTCACTTTTGGTCATGATCGAGAGATCTGGAGGTTGCCAGGGTAGACCAAGCTGTTGCTCATGAATTACTCTATCAGCTGTCAAAATCTGCAAGGAAAAGCACTAATATTTCATTGGGAAAAATATTTTTTTCAAAAGTCTTAGTAAACAAGAGTTTAGTAAAAGACCTGTAAACTACTGCACTGAATTTCACTGCATTGCACTGATGCATTGAATTAAAAGAATCATATTCTTTATCTGAGAATTTTTTATCAACAAATAATAAAAAAGGTTTTTGCCTTCCAGAATTAATATTAAATTACCTTCTCCAGAAGATCTTTAGCAATATTTTCATTCATTTCCCATACTTGGTTATATTTTTTATCATTTACTTCTGCAAATTGATCAGCTTTCCTTCCTATATCGATAATATTATTATGCAACTTCAAAACTTCATCAGTTAATCTTTGTTTCTCAGCTTTTGTTGTTCTTTCTGCTTCTTCAATTCTTGCTCTCAGTTTATTTACTACGTCCTGTAACCTTCAAATATTCTTTATTGTTGTAGATACCATTTGAATAATCTCAAAAAGAAAAACATAATTTTTCAAAGGATATTACAATTACTTACTTATTTATTCTTCGTTTTTGATGCGCTTTCATGATAATGTTTTCAGCATCTCTTTTTTTGAGGATCAGAAAATTATAATCTAATTTTTCACTGTTCAAAAGACACAGAGCTTTTATTTTTTCCAATTCTTGTTGCAGAACCTGATAGCACAATTAAGACAATTGTAATTAATTATAAAAAATAAAGCAATAAAATACAAAGTAAACAATTAAATTAAAAAAAGGTCTGAGTTAATTGCAATACTGATATTGAACCATCTGCTGAAAATCAAAGAAATTCATAATCAGTTAACATCTTGAGATGAGAAGAACATGATGGGAAAAGTTTAAGAAAATGCAATTCTTTGATGGAATTTTGAAAATTTCATTTATTAGACCATGTTTGATAATGTACAATGAAGTAATAGTGCATTAAAAAAATTGTCAGTCTGTGAGTCTGTCTCTGTATTTATTTATCCAGGGTAAGCTCTGGATTGATTGTTAGTGATTCCAGACATGTCAACTACGAAGGTCATTAGTCCCGTAAGTGTAGAGCATGCTTTGTTTTTTCAGGAGGTGGTGGTGATCTTTCCCTTCAAGGTTCCCGGCGAATTCCGGCACCGTCCTACAGTTGACTAGCGGGGTTTTCCCAAACCAGGTATCTCCGAACAGCGGGGCACTGACCCCGCCGAGACGAGCTCTAAGTTCCTGGCATGTGCAATAATGTAAAGCTAACACAAGTAGTGTTGAAAATCCTACCACTGTTGGGACTCGAACCTTAGACCTCTCAGTCAGAGGGACTGCAGTGACATCAGCTGATGCCCTAAGTCATCTCTCCCGGTGTAATCTCTGGGACCGTTAATCCAATTTCTATAAATTTTTTCTGAGAGGTCATGAGTTTTCACTGAAATATAAAGTGTTTTATCAGACATAACTTAGGTTCCTTTTTATTTTATTTTTTCAAATTATTATTTTCTCATCTATAAGAAGTTCATTTGCTTGTTTGTTTGTTCATACCAATCCACAATCTTTATTCCAATCTTAATGAAATTTTGTGTGTGACCTTGAAAACAAGAGAAAAATGACTGTCTGCATGATCTTTTTTAGCAACATCTCCCTTTCCTACCCCTCAAAGCAAAATTTAAGTGTGCACTCTTTGTTTTTCATGAGAATTTCATGAACACTGAGTAAATTTTCCTAAAACATATAAAGGTTTCTTAAAGCCTATAACTTTTCCTACTAAATGCATTTTGACTCATTTTGTCGGCATAATTAATCTTTGAATGATTTAAGGCACAAATTGTTAGTGGAAGTTTGCCAGGATCATGCAACAAAGCGTCCATTTGCAGATTCTCAAAGGAACAATGGTGTTAACCAGTGCTTGATTTTAGATCCTGGAATGCACCCTAAATTAATTGATAATTTAATGTAAATAGTTATGCATTTATACCAAATCATAATTATTATAAATCACACTTAATAACGCCAACCTGGATGACTGAGGTGGCTAAATGTGTGCCACTCAGCACCTCAGTTGGAAGGGTCGCGGATTCGAGTCACCCCATAAACATGGTTATTTGTCCCTTGTCTTTCATGTATGTGTGTTGTTGTGGAAGGTCTTGTGAGTCTAGTGACCACAGATCAAGGGGCCTGCAAATGTGTCAGGTCTAAGGTAAAAGTTAGTACATGTCTCCCTGAGACATGGTGGATGGTCTCCTTGAGGGACAGTGGTATTACTGGCAGTATGTAAATGAAATGATAATAATAGAAAATAAAAAGAGAAAGTTTATAATGACATTTCATCATTTTTTACTAATAATTTTATTATGTTTGTAGAAATGATACCGTTTAGTGGAAAATTATTTACTTTTGAGTTTACTAAAGTTTGTTGAACTAAAAATTGAAGTTGCTAAGTGTGTTTCCTCTGCCTCTTGTTTGCTTTTTTCCCCTATTTTCTTCCTGAAGTACCAGAATGCTGTTCTGTTGGGTTCCACTCAAGCCCTGCTGTTAACAAAGGTGATGGAAGCAAACATGATCAGTTAGTAATAAATAATAAAAAAAAGCTTACACGTATATCTGCTTCAAGACGCATTTTTGCTTCTCTATATTTTTCTTGGTGTTCAACATGTATAGTGTCCATTTCTTTCTCAAAATCTATTATTAGCTCAAATTTCTTTTTCATATTTACTACTTCTTCCTTATCCCGTTCTTTGTAGAGTTCCTCCCATTCTTTATTAGTAGACTCGACTAATTCACTCTGCTCTACTTTTATAACTTCCTGAAAAGAAATAAACGGGTGTAAATTGTAGAATTTGTAAAAACAGGAACCCATGTAATTTACAGATTTAAATATCAAAATGAAAAAACATACATCTAACATTGCAAGTTCTTGCCTATAAGCTTTTGACATCATGTTTATATGATTGTCAATTCTCTCTGCCAATAGATTCAAATCTTCCTTTTGTCTCTTCTGGTCTCGCCTGAAGAATTCATCATTTTTATCTAGTTCTTTGTTCAGTTTCTCTATAACTTCATTTTTTGCCTGCAGCAATTCTTCACACTTAACTGAAATATGTTTGAAAAAAACAATTGCATCTTTAATTGAGCAAATTTTACAATATTATCAAACTTTTACTGCATGGATGTCCAATTATTCTAGTAATTAAGAGAAAAAACATGGGTACTTTCTAATCATGAGCTGAAAATTCTTCAAGGAAAATTCAATTTGTACATCAATGCATTTTTTACCTTTAAATCGTAAAGTAATTGTCAGAAATTTATTAAGTTGAAATAATAGTAATCATTCAGAAGTAAAAGTGTCATATGACTATTACATACAATTATTGTACAGAGTATTTCCACGCACGGAACTCGAGTTCCACAAGTATCAAAAAGTAATGAAAATAAACTTAGAGAAATTGACTATTGACATTGAAGTTATGAATTTACATTGCTAGTCAAAGTTAAAAATAATGAAATTAGAAGTAAGTCTCAAAATTATTAGTTTAATTGGATTTGAAAGACCAGTCACCTAAAAAGTGAAATTAAAAGACTAAACATCTAATTTTCACACGAGGCCTGCAGAATACTGCACAGCTCAATACTGAGTCCCTTTTATTTATTGTGAAAATAATCTTCCTAATGACTCAATCAGAATCAGTGAAATGCCCTATATATGCAGATGACATTTGTGTCAGTTATAATTCACCCAACATTTTTCAATTGATGGAAAAAGAAAATGTCCAGTCTTTCTTTACTTTTCTAATCACAGCTTGTGGAGAGCAGAAGCAAAATATAACAACTGAATGGAACCTGAAATAAAAAGCAATGACTGGCAACTTTAAAGCAATTCAGCAGTATTTTTCTGCACAACATCACTCTTTCATCAATTGCAATAGGGATTTTGCCTTAGTAAAGAGAACGATAGGAAAACAAGACAGAATTTACTCTCTCAAACAACACAACAGGATGATATCTCAAGAAAATCACAGAATGCATTGCAAGTCAAGATTAATAAACTTGAAGACATCATTGATTTTAAAGAATAGTAGACACACACACACACACACACACAAAATCTTCAATTGCCCAAAATAGTCAAATAAAGGAGAAGTTTTCACTTGCTAAAACATTGCATTTGACAATTATTGATGAAAATGCAGGCTATGTTTACAGATATAATTACAAGACAAAATTACGATAATATGAACTCATTGTAGGTACACCAAAACTGAACAATTTCAAAATACATCTATCAGATTGTCCAAGAAACTGCTTTCTGATATTTGGGATGTAGATAATTAAAGATTAAAACTCAATTAAAATTGTGCTAGTTCCTAACTCTACATTACTGACTAATTCTTAATTTTCAATTTCTAAGCTGTGAGCAAGAATTCTGCAATCATTGACATAAGGAATATAAAATTATTATTTAATGCTCTGTTCTAGTGTGATACATTTTGAGATGTAAGCGAGCCTATGCTATATTGTTGTACATGTTAGGATGTTATCTTATTGTTCCGTTTAACTAATATTACTATCTACAGTAAAGAAATTTGTTTAGTGTATGAATTGCCTATGTCAAATCAAACAGTCCAGGCTTGGTCACTGTATTTTTAAGAGTAAATAAATAAATGTATAAAAGTCTATATATTTTAACACTAGGGTTTTCATTTAGAAAAAAATCGAGCTTTCTACTGAAACAAAATTCAAGATATTTGCTTTAAACAAAAGGTAGTAGGCTGTAGATGTTACACATGCTCTTACTAATAGTTTTATAAAACATACACCAAAATTTTATAAAATCTTTAAATTAAGACAAAAAATACTAATCTGCTATAATTTGTCATTATGATGTTTTGAAGACCAACTACATTTTGTAGTTGGAATAGAAATGGCCTTTGCCATTTTGTCGGGCATATTACAATTGATCTATCAAAAGCAGTGAACAGTTAATAAGGTAATAGTTTGCAAAGAACTTTATAATTTTAAAGATAGAATTTTTTCAAATGCAAATATTAGTGAGTGTTTATAAATATGAAGTCCAAAACTCATTTGGCACACGTGTCTGTTTACAAACAAATTTTGAGTTTTATTGCTATGTGCATGATTATGTCTTTAAATTGGAGTGAATAGCAGAATTTCTCCCTGTGGTCCACTGGAATATATATGAGCAATGTTGGCAAATATAACATTTCAATTCGTTTTTCACAAATACCTTTAACTCTTTGGTTCCAGTGAATAATGATTGTATTATTCCAGAATTTGTAAACCTCCCTCATTTAATTAGTCAGAAAATTAGTATTGATTGAGGTTTTGAACTTTCCTTATATGGTAGTGGATAAGATGTACATTTGTATCGTAACATTTAAAATTTCTTTCTTTTGTGACAATGACTTTCCAATTTTTTCTTTTGCAGGTAACATTTTTCAGTATTTGCTATTTGTATTTACATTTTAAAATAATTTGATTTTCAGGAGTAATGCATATTTTTTTTGCATTATAAAAAATATTCAATTTCGTAATATTACAGTGAGGACCTATAATATGTCAACTGCTGGAGGTAATGCAGTAAAATAAATTTTAAATATTAAAAAAATTGTGTTTGTGTGCAAATTTTCTCATCTCTCTGATTGTAGATTAAAAGCAGAAATATAGAGTACAAATTGAATTGAATTGGATTTTTGAAGGAATAATTTATTATCAGTTAAAGTTAGTTTTACTAACCAAATTTATGTCATAATATAATATACAATTTATATTTCTTTTCAATTATTCAAATATGATAATCAATTGCATAATAGAAATACATGACAGTATATCATTCACAACTATCTAAAAGTTATGTTAGTATGAAAATTATGGGCAACAGCAGTTTATTGTTATTATAACTTAGGTGATTCTAATGTCAACTTCTAACTACTCAGCAATACAAAACTCCAATTCAACCTTTTTGTTTTTCCATATCGCTGTAAATATCAAGAGGATCTCTGTAGTTTGATATTTCTCTCCATTTTTGATTAATCTCTTCAAGCTTCTCCAGACTCTCTCTTGCTTCATCTTCGACAAGTTTCATTCTGACAATGCGAGCCTCTGCCTGCTCTTGTCGGCGTTTGACTTCGCGAGCATCATTTGCTACGCGAATGTTTGTCACCTGAAAATAAGAGATGAAAATGAAGAGCAAAACTGAAAATCAGAAAGTGAAGAGAGAAGTTAACTGTAATGGGGATAAGATAGGAAGGGATATAAACAAGAAGAATTAAACAAAACATGACATTTCCATTTTTCAATTTCTTTTCAAGAACCAATAAAATTATTTTAAAATGGAGAGCATGAAAACCAATTTTAGGTATACTATTATCAAATAGAAGTCAAATAGATTCTACTTATCAATATATTTCATATCTCAATATGCATAATTTGAGAAAAATTTGAAAATGTCAGCTTTTGTGACAAAATGTGAAATGTTAACTTGAGAAAATATTGAATTTAAAATATTATTTTTAGAAATATGATTTCGTTATAAAAGTTAGGCATTAGGTATTACTTTCAAAGAAATCAAGAAAATGGAATAAGCTTTGTAAATCAATAGTTAATGTGACATGCATTCCATATTCATGCAAAGGATTATTATTTACATTACATTATTTTCATCTGAAATGAATCTTGAATAACACTACAAATTATATTTATTTATTGAATCCTTAACAAAATAGGGTCATCATTTGCAGTGCAATAGGTTAATTTTTTGTCTGCTGTCACTGGCAATGCCTTATGAGCCACCAACATTGGCTATATGTGAGTTTCATTCAATTTCAGCCTTGAAGCAAAATTGATCTGTTTTTACTAAATTAAATTTTCATTCTCTACTTAAAACACTTTTTGTAACAAATACTGGATATCTCTCTTAATGGCTTACAATTTAGCCCTTGGAATTCAAAAAGTGAGCCTCAAGTATGGGTTTCCAGCAATTTCTTTTTAAAAACTGCAGAACATTATCTGTAAAAATGTGCCTAGTGGAACTTTGCAAACATTGTTCTGCCCTTCATCTCCTCTTCATTTTCCCTCTCTCATCATCTCCGTCTCCTCCCCCTCCAGTAAAAATGTAATAGAATGTCCAAAAAGATATTATCTTGTAGAAAATAGTGTGAAAAACGTTTTTTGATGCCTTTGGCCTCAAAATTTTAGTTTCTAATCTTCTTTTTTCTTAATATAATTTTTGGGGTTTATATCATGTCAAAATGTGAGCTCAATCAGCCAGAACCTTTTGAGTTTTTGAAGTATACACATTTTAGTTTATAATCTTAATTTAATTTTTTGGGTTGTATATCATGTCAAAATTTGAGCTCAACCAATGCAGAACTTTTTGAGATATTGAAGCATATACAAACCAACATAACATTTTATATATAAAGATAGGTATCTGTCCTTAAGTCCTTCAAACTTCACACAACAAACTTATTTTTTGATGTCATTAGGGCACGGAGGAAGACACGCTGTGAAATTTTTAATTTCAAGCTGTTTAATGCAGTGAAAACTGTATTAATGTATTGTTTCATTATCAGGATGCCACACAATTTAAATACATTTTGGGTGGTATGATTAAATTCAATTTAATGAAAAAATTATACTTGAGCTAAGTTAATTTAAATAAATTAAATAGGCAATCATTTTATCTTTCGACAACAATTCATGTCACGTAATTACCTAGAGTTGGTCAGATGAAACTTTTTTCAGTGTTCATAACACAATCAAATGAAGCAAAGGGATAAATATCCTGGCAATACTATGTTTTGTTTAAAACATGTTTTGTTCAAAAATGAAAATACAGCACACATTCTTTAGCAAATGACATGTTTTGAATGTTCAATGCTCAAATATATTTCATTTGACAATATCCTTGGGCATTTTTCTATATAGTTTTGGAACCTATTGCGCCTGCAAATGATATTTGGATTAATTTGCTGATTAGAATTTTACTTGTTCTTGTCCATCTTGAATCAAATGATCCAAAGTCACCATACTGTCTGCTATTTGTTGTTCTATAGGAGTCTTAATACTCTCTTCTCCTTCTTCTGATACTTCTCTTCCATCTCTTGTTCTTATGAAAATAAAATTATATTTAATATAACATTGACTTCAAAATAATTTGACATATATTTGATGTTTACAAAATTGTTACATGACATGTAATTTCACTTAAATATACAAGTAATTTTAAATATTAACTTTTTCACTTGTTCCAGCCGTTTTTGAATTCGCAAACGTCGGGCCAATTTGCGTTCAATTGGATCCGTAGAAGTTACTTGCGGATCTTTCTTTCTTGGTTCTTCTTCCTCTTGCTCAGATTCGGCTGTGTCCATTTTGCTTAATTAACCCAGAGCTGAGTGAAATGTCAAAAGTTGATTTTATGGAGCAGGCAAGCAAATTGAATTGAGTTGTCCTTAGCAACGAGCATGCAACCAATAGCAAGTGAGAAGGAAAACGCGACATCTCAAGACTGTAAGAAAAACTAGCAACTTAAATTACACATAACAGATGGCGTTAAGTCACGCTTTGCCAAGTCGGGGCTGTCATCGTAGTAATATCTTTTGCCGCCAGAGCCGCTGGAACATGGCTATAAAAGTGTCCGGAATGACGTCATGAAGTTTGGCGGGAAAGTGTTGGATGGTAAACTGGTAAAATTGCTAGATCTGCGTCCAAAAAATTCGAACAAGCGAGGGGTTAAAGTACTAACAATTTAAAAAATGTACAATTAAATTATACATCTTCTTACAGATTTTCTATCAATTATTCTCTTAGACTGTACAGCTTTAGATTACGTACCATTTCATCACAAAACTTTGGAATTTTAAAAACTGTCCACTATTTTGTGAAAAAATAGTGAACGCGATATGAAAAAAGCGATCTTTTATCTCAAATAGTGAACACCTGGCAACCATAGTTCTGGTGTGCGAGTAAGTGTTTTTAGGTTAGTAAATTTTTGATTGTTTTGTATTATGCGGTTGCCGAGGCAAGAGACTCCCACCGTTTATTTTTATAAATAGTCGTCTTTTTAAATACTTATTTTAGAAAATTGTATTAATGATTAATCTACAATACAGACCCCGATTTTTTCATGCATTAATTTTAATAAATATAAGGTGGTTTAAAACATAAATAAACATTACACTTATTTATCATCATATTTTTAATTTTCTAAAGTTTCTAGTGCTGAATTCAAATATCGATGGAAGAATATTAATATTTAAGCCACGTGCTGAATATATTTCTTGGGCCTTTTCTACATAAAATATGTAATTTTTAAGTCACAAATACTATTAGTTCAGATTCCGATTAAAAAAATAAAAATGTTAACATTTTTATCAAATTATCAATATCTTTTGCTTCTTAAGTTTCAATGAACATTTGAGGTCATTTGTTACGATGTTAATAACTCATATGTCTTTATAACTCTCGTGCAGAAGTAAATAGTTCATTTACTTCTACGTAATAATGGGGCTCAGATTTTACACAAATAACGTCTTGAAAATTTCGTAAATCTTAATGGATCATCATTAGATTTCGTAATCTAATGGATCATCATTAGCAAAACGAAATTAGTCCCGCCCGCAAAACGTTTATCTGGCCCCCTTTATAAAAGTGTAGAGAAAACCTACGGAGTGTTAGTAACTTAAATAATATAAATATATGCTCTAAAATTGGGCCCCTCTTTTATCTGAGCCCGCCCGCATTACAGGGTTGTGGTCCCGAGCACCAACTGTGGCTCATGCAATGAAGCTGAACACATTCAGGCAACGCATGAAAATGACAACGACTAGTTCCTGAGCGGTTGTTGCCCCTTGTCACATTCCCCTATGCGATGGAAATTTTTTACAGAGGATTGATCGTGATATACTCCTTTTTTTGTTATTTAAGGTCGCATCAACTACTAGGTAATTAGCTACCACTATTGTGTGTAACGATATGGTAACTCTGAGTATGACACGATATGATGATGATAGGGGTGTGAAAGGACGAACACAATACAAGCATGCCTCGAACCAGCGACCCTTCGGTAGAAGGTTGGCAAATCCATTATTTGCTACTTCATTTCGCACCATTCTTCGACAGCTCGATCACTCCCTGTGCCTAATCTGCTCGCCTTCCGTCGCATTTTGTTCCGTTTTTACTTTTTTGTCTTTCTGCGTATTTATATAATCTTCAGATTCAGGGAAAGCACTTAAAATGGCACAGGTCTGATGTTCGTTGAAATTTCTGAATTTTTTGAAAATTGCAAGAATTCAAATATTTTTGGGAGTCTTTCTGAAACTAATTGATTGATTAGTTATTCCGGGCGCGTTAATTGCCAATGTCATTTGTCCCGTAAGTGCAATACTTTTTTAAAATACTTTTTTTTATTTTATCGCGGGAGGTGGCTGTGATCTTCCCCTGCTGGCTGTGAAAATCCGGCGCCTACCGAAGTCGACTTGCGGGGATTTTCCTCAACCAGGTATCTCCCACCAGCGTGGCACCGCGCCAGACCCAACAAGCTCAAAAGATCTCTACTGAACTCCCGACATGTGTGGTGGTGCAACGCATGTAAGTGTGTGTGTAAGTATTGGCGATGCTGTAGGGCATTCTGGGTACCTTAGAATACTCAAATAATTTTCCAACAAAATCTGTCGTTATGTGTACCATTTTTCAATTTATCTTTACTGTATCGTTAAAGAAAATTAAATGTTTCCGACTCATTTTTCCCTGCTGACGCGCGAGGGAATGAACAGTGCTGCTATCTGAGCGGGGATAGACAGCGGCTGGCTGTGCCGCGCATGCGCAAAAGGGCGCTGGAGGTGAACTGCTGGGCAGGGAGCCTAGTCTGTCAGCATGCGCAGATGTTTACGTATTGCAGTACAATATAAAGAGTTTTTTCTTCGTGTGTGTTGGATGGAGCGCCTACCTTGTACCTTGTATCTACCAGGGGGGGGGATCAACCCCGGGGTGAGCACCTTGGGCGTTTAATCTCTATCAGCATCCTCCCGCAGGCGTACTGGTACGCCCTTGGACCAATATCTGGTTCCCGCCTGAACACATTTTCTCCTCTCGATAACCTCCCCATACAATACCTGGGCGAGGCCGGCCTGACAGTTCAGAGTTCCTAGCTTTCCAGGCTAGAACCGGAGTCTAATCAATGCGCCAATCACAGGCGCCGCGACGAAATCCCACCTCTATACCCAGAGTTTCGGACCACTGCTACGACAAAGTCAAAAGCCCAACAGGGGACCACCCGAACTATGGTTCGGGCGGCTTAGGACTCCCCGTCTCCTCACTGCCTACACCTTTAGGCTAACGACGTGAGTATCGTCAGTGAACCTAGGCAATCTGACAGGTGGTACCAGATTTCCGCCAGACTTCTATACGTGGACTCCAGAGCATTCCGAAGAATCTTCTTCACCCGATCCTGCCGAAAGGTTGACGTTCCTGCCGAAGGAGAGCCAGCGTCGACTACTCACTGACTCCTCCTTGAAGCTATCGACGTGAGTGCCGCCGAGAAACTCAGGGCCCGGGTGAATGTCTACAGTTCTTCACCAGAGATCGTGCCCACCTACGCAGACACGATCCCTCACCCCCCCCCCGTGCGGGAAGAGTGAGTTGTTAGTGTTTACTCTATGGAATAATTAATTAAGCTAAAGATTTAGAGTTGTAGAGAATGCCCCACCGACTATGGACCAACTTCTAAACGATTCACGATATCGAAATGCAATTGTCGCTCAACAATGCGGAACAATGAGACAAGTTATATGCCGTAGAGTAATAAATAATGGATACGTAGTAATAGACACGTCAGATATGAAGAGACTATTACAATGTGCAACAAAGCTGGCACGACCATAAATGACCATGAAACTTTCAGGATCAGAATTCTTTGAAAGATACAAAAATTGTTTCTTTTAAAATTATTGATCTCATATTTTTTTAATGTAATATAGTGATTCAGGCGGAATATCGGTTTCAAGATTTTGAAATCTTTCATTTTATTTAATTTCTTGACGAACTCAACTTCTCACCCACAAAGCGTCCATTCCTCCAGAAAAGTTTTCTTTCCTAATTAATATATCTATCCAACATCCATTCTTTGAAGTGAGCAGGTTCGAAATGAATTGACAAATATATACATTGATATTGTAAAAAGCATGCCTGCAGATTTGATGCTGAAGTATTTGTTGGACAATTTGAACTAGAAAAAATCATGAGACGGTTCGGTTGATACAACTCAGTCTAAATTTTCCTTTATCTACAGCAATGTGTAAAAGGAATATGATTACTAGGGAGAGGGTTTTATGCCCTAACATTTTTGAAATATGCTTTTAAAAATATGCATTTATGACAAAAGTTCTTAAATGTGCTTTTTAAAATGCAATTAAAATTAAGAATATTTCATTTCTGGTATAAACCTTTCTTGATAAAATTCAGGAGAAGCAGGTTTGGAATGAGAATACATTTTTGTGCAACATAATACAATCTACCTTCCTTCGCGGGAGAAATAATTGAAGTAAATAGAAGTTAATATTCACCTTAGTATGACGTGTTACGTTTCTTGTGCCTGATTAAAAAAATATGACATCAAGAAATGTGCTACATTTGCACAAGTATTTTATCAACTACAGAAAAAATGCACACTGTGACACGCTCTTTCTAATCAATGAACGCTTACAAGCACTTAAATATAAATAGAATCTATGCAAAGATGAACGATAAGTTAATTTTAATGATATATGCAAAATATGCGCCAAAAATTACACGAATATACAACAGGTAAAAACGCCAAATATGAACAAATATGCACTAACATATTAATCTACATAGCATCCAATTCTGACCAAATGTAAAGAAATTTCACTTAGCTGTGCCTTGAAGTAATAGGAAAAAATATGCAAAATTATAGAAATCTTCTGCCTAATGATTGCATTAAAGAGGGTGAAGACATTCCTGAGAAATTCCATGGGAAATATCAGAATCAATTATTTCAGTTCACTTGCTATCAAACAGTGTATTCTAAATTAACTGCGAAGAAACTACAGCTTTAAAGAAGAAATTATCGATGTTTTTGTTGAACGAAAACACCGATGAATGGAGCTAATTTGCAAAAAAGTGTAAGGTAATATTTTCAGAATACCCAACTGCATGACTCTAGATTCGCCACTGTGTGTAAGTAAGGGGTGAGGATGGGATACGGATGAGGAAAGAAAGATCGTGCCCTGTCCGTACGTAGCCCGTTTGTTAGGGTACTGCTCCGGCATTTGCCTTATTGATTGGGGAGACCAGATAAATCTACCGTTCAGAAGTGGCTGCCACTAGAATCCTCCTCCGGACAGCGGCTGATTTCGAGTAGCTGTGTAGCTA